TGTGTGTGTGTGTATGCGTGTATGTATATACAAATACACGTGTATATATATATATATATATATTTGTTTATGTGATATGTAAAAGCCTTAGTCCAATGTCCCATGGCAAGCGGATGCATGGGGAGTTGGACTAAAGCGTACTTCTTGGTTTCGTGCAGGCAGCTCTGCAAATATGAGCTCCTGATGCAGCTCAAGCATAGTAGTTTCCACTCTATTTTCCATTATCCCTATATAGCTAACCCCAATATACTATAGAAGTTTCCATTTCATTTTCCACTATATGACCCCAATGTAACCCGTGCATCCCTATGTAGCTTGTTCAGGCCATCCTTCGCCTGAGCCATGGTCTCTCCGTGGCATCTAGACTCCACAGATGTGGAGGAATCCCTCTTAGCGCGCGCCTGCCGCCGGCGCGACCTCTTTCAGGCTTTGCGACAGTCCGACAAGAATGGCATAAACCTTTTAGAGTCTATACTTTGCACGCTGCATGCTTGCCCTGAGGCCTGCGGAGGCCTAAACGCTCCAGCCGATGTTGCAATGACTCCTAGATTTACAGACCAACACTAGCTTCATACCGCCGGCCTAAGGGGAGGTCTATTGTCAAAGAAGTGCCAGAGTGCCTGAAGCCCAGCTTTAATAAACTCAAAACCAGATACCTCGATCATCTCTAAACGATCCTCTCACCGTCCCCACTTGTAGATTTCTACATCTTTGCTCTGGCGCCCTACTCCGAATCCTAAGCCACGAGCTGTTGGAAAGGTACAGGCGCTCCTCCGTGACAAGGCGGACCCAAACCGCGCAGATTCCGCCGGCGAGACGCCTCTGCTTCAGGCTTCCTGCACAGTGGGCTCTTGAGGGATGAAGTAAGAATAGGAGACCAAGAAAGCATGCATACATACATGCGTACGTACATACGTACGTATGTATGTCCATGCAGACATACGACATACACGTCCCAAATGGTGGCTTCCTTTCTATATGTGTATATATAGACATATATATATATTGGAAGTTACGGGGTTCTCTCGGGTTATGTGGCACAGGAGAAGATGGTGCTTGCAAGCCCTCATTCCATCAGCAAATGGAGTTATTTTGAGGCCTGAACCCTAAAACCTAAACCCCCCCAAAAAAACTCCTTCCTTCGCGGTTGCAGGCAGCGGCACAGGGCGACCTTGATGTCAGGGCCCAAGGGGGGTTCTGCAGCTTTCCCTTTTTGCGCGTCCCAGAAAATTGCTTGTTGGTAGATGGGTTGAGGAAGAAGGGAGTTATGAGGCCCTGCTGATTCATGGCTCACATCTGCCTACAAGCTTTCATCACAAGCCCTGCGAGGAAACGTCGGATGCCCACTTCGATCATGTTACGTAGAGAATTATGCAAGGGTTGTATACAGGAAATATGTAGGGTTTACCGGGGTTGTATAGCGCTTATGCAGGGGGATTCTACAGGCAAGTGGCATTCCCCCAGGGCCATCATGAGAACGTCTTACAAAACAAGGCATGCCCCTTAACCCTAAACCCCAAACTGGGTTGCTGTTAAGGAACTTAGCTTAAGTTACCATAATGGGTATGTATGTATATCTATATATATTAATATGTATAAGTAACTAGTTGTTCCCAATAAGTAACTTAGATTCAGTTCCTGAAACCCCTATATTCCCGCAGGTTCCATTTTATTTTCCATGTTCGTATCCATTTGACTCTCCATTTCAGGGGGATTATACCCTAAACCCTCAACCCTAAACACCACCCCCAAAGAAAACTGACTTCTGGCTCCCAACCGAAGACTGTCTCTGTGCTCTGCTATGGACCTTACAATCTTTTCTAGAGGTCGATTTAGAAATTAGGATTTAGGGAGCCAGTGGAGCAAATAGTGGGAGTGCTCATCTTATCCTAAGTTACGGTTGTGTAGGTTCCAAAGCAAGTTGCCAGGCCGCATGCTGTAGAGCCCTCACCCAGTAGCAGTTTATACTAGGGGTAGTACTGAGGTCTGCATATGGCTACATTATTTTTAGTATTGGTCTCCAACTCTTAGCACGTTAACTGGATAACCATATAATGGTTATATGAAGACATATGACCCTGTGTCATCCCTATATAACCCCTGTAAAATCCGCTATATAACCCCTTTATAATCCTCTATATAACCCCTTATCTAGTCCTCGAGATTTCCATATATTGGCCCCTAAATTCCCCTTTTTGTAATCCCCTATATTACCCTTACATGATCTTTGTATAGCCCATGTCTATCAGCATAAGATCAGGTTGCATATATAATTTGCTATATAAGCCCTACATAACGCCTGGAAAGTCCCTATACAATACCTATATTCCCTAAACCTTAAACCTTAAACTATAACCCATCGAATCTATACATCCCCTGTATTCCCCTTATATAATCCCCTACATTACCCTTATTAATGATCTTCGTATAGGCCCATAACACCAGGTCGTGTCATTGCTTCTTGGGCACGGCGCTGAGCCCTCAAGGCGAGCGCCGCCCACTGTGTGCCGTGAGGCAGACGGCCAGCTTGGGTCTCAGCTCAGCTTAACATGTTGGTATAGTTTAGGGTCATATTAGGGTTATATTGGGGTTATACTAGGGTTATATTGGGGTTATGTTAGGGTCTAGGGTTTAGGGTTCAGGGTTTAGGGTTTAGGGTGTGGGTTAGTATATGTGAGGATCTCAGATCTCCCTTGATTCCGAAGAATGCAGGTCCCTTTAGTGGAGCTCCTATTACAATGCAGGTACGAATCAAATGGAAAAGAACATGGAAATGACGTGAAAACTTGGAGATAAGGGGCCCTTCTTCAGAATAAGGATTGTACTTGTAGTATATTGGGGGAATATCCCGATATACACCTTTTAAGGGACCTAGGGTTTCCATTTCATTTTCCATTTTCTTGTCCCTTTGATTCTCGATTATAGGGACTATATGGTTGGGTTACACAGGGGCTCCCTGTTAAAGGCAAACTTCGCTGCAAAGTTGAATAATCTCGGTGTTTCACAGTAACTTTTGTTCACAGGTTTTCTGGGTTGCTGTTCAGGAACTTAATCTAAGTTACTGTATTGTGGAAACCCTATTACTGTAATTACAATATATACCCATTATGGTAACTTAATTTAAGCTCCTCAACAGCAATCCAGTTTTTGGGATGCTTGGGTTCTGACAGAGTCCCCGAACTGAGGAAGCATTGATGAGGAGGCCAATGTTAGATTTCTGCCGCAGATTTGGGGTTAACAGAAAACTGAAAGCGGCATTGACTTGACTTGACAGTTCTTCCCAATCTTACTTAGTTCTGCCCAACGGCAATTGCCGATCAGGTGTAATTGAGGGCTTCAAAGTTCGGATGAGTTGTCACGTCTTGCGTTTCAACTTCTGACATTTGGGCCTAGGCATTTGGGCTTATCTAGTTTGGGCACGGTGGCTCAGAGGTTCAGAGGTTGGTTGGCTTTAGGGTTTCGGGTTTAGGGTTACAACGATCATGAGGCGGAGTTGTAGACCGTCAGCAAGACATGCGGCGAAAGGTTTTTCATGCATGCTTGCCAAACAGCAGATAGCCAGCAACAACCTCCAGACTATCTTGCTGGCTGTCAGTAAGAAATAGGGGAATCTACTATGTATGTATCACACAGGGATTGTGTTCCCATATTCCCTACTAACCACCACCTACTAACAACCAGAAAAGCAAAGCTAAGGTTGAGCCCTCCGGTGCGGAAGCTCTTCGAGCTCTTTACGCGCAAAGGCAGAGGGTCTAGACAAGGGCATTGGCATCCGTCAAATCAGCGGCTTGAAATTTCCATGGGAAGTCTATGCCATAAGCTGTCCAGCCCTGTTGTGTGCACATTGGAGTAGATATGCAACATCTGCGCCAAGACATTTCTATCAATCAAAGTGAGCGTGCTCAGCCTGCGTATATTTGCATATACACTTGAACTCGTGATCCATTAATAATCAAGCCCTAAACCCTATAAACTCTAAACCTTCTAAGCCCAAAATCCTATTACACTTAGCCCTGAACCCTGTAGGCCTCAGCCCTAAGCCCTAAACTAAAAACCTAAACCCCAAACCCGAAACCCCAAACCGCGTTTATGCGAGGCCTCGCCTTGGATCAGCGGGAGAAGATCTTAGAATCTATGCCGCTGCCATTGGATCCTGGGGCGGCTGCGCAGGCCGCCGAAGCTTGTTGAAGTAATAGTAATAGTAAGAATAATAGTAACAGTAATAGTAATAGTAACAGTAAAAGTAATAGTAATATAGGGTTTAGTCTCAGGTTTTAGCGTTTAGGGTTTGGGGTTAAGGGTTTGGGACTTAAGCTTTGGGGTTTAGGTTTTTTGGGGTTTGGGGTTTAGTCTCAGGTTTTAGCGTTTGAGGTATCCGGGTCTCGGTTCCAGGTTCTAGTCCTCTCTGCAGGCTCCCAGCCGACTATTGGGATTCCGTTTTAACACACTTACTGACACCAGAAATGCTGCAAGAGGATTGCCTGAGCAGAATCATGCAATCAATTCTATACAACCACACCTTAAAGACTGCAGAATTCCACACAGGAACGGCAAATGCTGTTCAAGACGCAAAGCCGTTATCAAAGACAGAAGGCCTGCACCCAAATTCAGAGAAAACAACCTTTTACAGCCTGTCAACCCCTCGCGCCGGCCTTCCGTGAGCAGCATAGAGGCTTGGGGATGAAAAAGGGCCCTCAGTCATAGTGGGTTTAGAATTTTAGAATTTAGGGTTAAGGCTTTAAGGGCTTAGGGTTGAGAGGCTTAGCATTTGAGGTTTGCGGTTTAGGGTTAAGCATTTAGTGTCTAGGCGAGCACCACTGCGCGTTCTTGATTTTCCTGTACCCCTTCATGCCTCACTGACTTGAAGCGTACTCTCATGAGGGAGCGAGTGTACCACAAGAACATACTGCATGCTCATCATGAACTCCCCTAAGCCCCATGGACTCCACGATAATTCCAAACCCTTAACCCTACACCCTATGAGATCCCAAAACCAGCAGGTGCGGAACCGGCTGGGCATCGGCGGCCTACGGCACCGCAATGCCACGGCGGTCGTGGCGCCGCGGCGGAGGGAGCGCGAGGCAACAGCGGATCATGAGGCTGCGGGGGGGCTTTCAGATTGTGACAGGGTACAGCTATACGTGAAGGATTTGGGGTGTAAGGTCTAGGGCCTAGGGTAGCATGCCCATCTCTTGAGATCCTTCGAAAGTAGGACCTAGTGCTCAGAAGGGAGCTCCCCTGAACCTGCATGCCTGCAGGACGTGAGGATGATGCCGCATAGGCTTTGGATAAGAAAGTCACCGTACAACTGGGACATTCCAGGGCAGTGAACCCACTGCTGGCACAGAAACACGCGCACTGCCACAATGCTTGGCGTCGAAGTATGCTATGGGGACCCTCGCTCTCAGGTTCTCGCCGGCTGTGAGGGTCATAATTCTTCGAAGTCATTATACATTGGGGATACAGCCTTATGGCAAGTGATCTGGAGGTCACGATCTTGGTGTCAGAGCCCCTTCGTCCCGTGCTGGTTCTCAACCCGCTCTGGGAGAAGCCGACCGCCACAGCCACTGAGATTCAAGGATTCTGGGGTTGCGAGTTTAAGAGGTTTCTGGCGACTGCTGTATATGGGGATATAAAATGCAGCATTGCTTCGTGTGTTGTGCGTTAGGATTTTTAACCCGAAAACATAGAACCTAAACCATATACAACCTAAACCCCTGAACCCTAAACCCTTAAGCTAAAAAAGGTCTTAAACGCTAAACCCTGAACCTCTCTTTCTATGGAAGTGTAAATATTAACGAGTTTGTGGGTGAAGGTCTTAATGGGCAAGGCCTTAATAAGCAAGGTCTTAATGGGTAAGGAGGGCTTAGAGTTCAGGGTTCAAGGGTTCAGGGCTTAGAGAGTTTAGGGTTCAAGGGTTCCAGGCGTAGAGTTTAGGGTTCAAGGGTTCAGGGCTTAGAGTTTGGAGTTTAAGGGTTCAGGGCTTGGAGTTTAGGGTTCCAGGCGTAGAGTTTAGGGTTCAAGGGTTCAGGGCTTAGAGTTTGGAGTTTAAGGGTTCAGGGCTTGGAGTTTATAGGGTTCCAGGCTTAGGGTTTAGGGTTGAAGGGTTCCGGGCTTAGAGTTTACGGTTCAGGGCTTGGAGTCTAGGCTTCACGGTGCGTAACCGTGTGCGCGCGCTGGGTGCGCCTTTTCTTTAGATTCAGGGGGCGCGCACACCATCATGCGCTAGCGTAGCTCTATCATCCCGCCCCAACCACCCAAACCATTCTCAATCAGGGTTCAGGGCTTAGAGTTTAGGGTTCAAGGCCCAAAGTCCAGAGCTCAAGGGCTCAGGGCGTAGAGTTCTTTTAATTAGGGTTCAGGGCTTAGAGTTTAGGGTTCAGGCCGTGGAATTTAGGGTTCAGGCCGTAGATTTTAGGGTTCAGGATGTAGAGTTTGGGGTACAGGTTTCAAAAGATGTGGGACCCAATGGGCGGGTGGGTATATGACCATTGTTTGATAACGCTGCTTAAGAGATGATGCTTTGACTTGAGATGCTGAACCCTACGCCCTAAACCCTAAAACCCTAAACCTGCAACCGAGCTCCGAGGTGGTCTTGCTGCATGGCCTCCTTCAGTCAGGGCCCATGCTGGAACGGCTGGCCAGGGGCCTCTCCAAAGGTCCGGGACCCAGACTCACCTAAACAAGGGTTTTAGGGTTTTAGGTGTAGGGCTTTTAGGGTTTTAGGGTTTAGGGTTTAAGGTGTTTTAATTTTAGGGGTTTTAGGGCTTCGGGGCCAAATAAGTGCCTTCATGAGGGAATAGGGTTTAGTTGTTTAGGGTTTAGGGGTTTGGGGGATTACCCAAATAAGCTGGGGTTGCTGTCAAGGACCTTGAATTAAGTAAGTTACGATATTATGGGTTATCGTGAATGGAAGGGTTTTCTGGATTGAAAGGACTTAATTTAAGTTTCTCAACAGCAACCCAGAGTAGGTGCCAATAATAGGGAGTCAAATGGAACATAACTTGGAAGATGAAATGGACAAAATGGCAGGAATTATGGGGATCATCATGACTAATTGCCTCTGACCAGTTCTAGTCTGCAATAGCCCCCCCTTCTGAAACAGGATGGGGCTCCATGTATAAATGGTTGAAGGTTGTCTCCATAGGCATAAAACCATATATGCCCCTACATGCACATGTTCATATCTAGATACATGCTTATACACGTGCATATGCGTCTTAGGTATACTTCTTCATGTAGGCCTAAGCTTTTGCTGGAGGCCTCCCTTTCGCTCGCTTCGTGGCTCCGACGGCGCCATCAATGCAGCTTGGCTGGGCAAACCCCTGGTCAAGGCAGTTTTATGAAGGCGTTGTACAGGTTTTGGAAGCATTTCGGGTAAAACGTTGGGTTGATGATGTAGACTTTTTTCCAAGCGTGACGCAGAAGCCTTCTTGTTTTAAGGTCGGGGATTTGGAAGTACTGCGCGGCACCAAAGCCGCTGCGTGTCATGTCCTTGCGCTAACGCAGGCAGCACGCAACAGCGGCACGGTGGTTTGGACCGGTCAGGAGGAATTGCGAAATCTGGTGCCTTCCGGTGCCACGCCAAAAAGCGGCATCGTACGAAAAAAAAACGTAGGATTAAATGCAAGGACCAACAAGTTGCTACTTGCTGCACTGCTGAGATGCGTTGGATGAACAGTTTGTAGCTTTGGTAAATTAAAACTCAAGTTTTGATGCAATATTGAAACGTGGAAGACAACTACCTGGATAAAAGACAACTTACCCATGTCTTCCCCCGTGCTTTAGGTTAGGCACTGTGGGGTTTGCGTCATGGCTACACTTCCTTGGGCATCTGATCTCTGCTAGGTTATATTTGGGGTGTATAAGGACAATGGAAAAGAAAATGGAATCTACTGTTTTATAATAATGGGAAAGGAAATGGAACCTACCATATTATAATAATGGAAAAGAAAAACCTCAACCCTAAACGCTACATAATAGTTTTCTGAGTCTGAGGTCTTCGCTGTTTGGCTACGGACCTGCTTGGTTTGATACCACGAAGCCTTCCGAAGGCATGCTGCGGGAAAGTGGCGAAGTTCAATAGCTTAGATAGGGATAATGGAAAAGAAAATGGAAACTACCATATTATATAGGGGATATAAACGGTGTATATAGGGGTTATGTAGGGATGATGAAAAGAAAATGGTAAGTCTCAGTAGCGCTACGCAAAGTCGACCCGAGAAGCAGGGAGTAGCAGCCAGCTGTCACAGGATACATGATGGTATGCCTGTTTGACAACCAGAACATCCAGAGCAATACTTCCAAAGCCAGCTGGAATGACAATCGCTGCGGCATTGGTCGCAGCAACAGTCCCGGCAGTAGCAGTTGTTGGGGGGCAAGACTATAGTCCCCCTTAAGTAGATAGAATATGGGGTATATGGGGATCTTATTGTAATATACCCAAAGCCATCTTCTATCTACTTAAGGGGGACTATAACCCCTATAAATAACCTACTATAATATAGTAGATTCCATTTTCTTTTCCATTATTCCCTAAAAAACCCAATAATATACCCCATATTCCATTTACTTCAGGGGGACTATAGCAAGAGGAGTAGGTGAAACAGGAGTGGTAGCAACAGTAATGTGTAATGCTTCCTTCTATCCAACCCTATGAGTTTAGAAATCCTTTCCATTATCCTTGTATAAACCTTATATAATCCCTGTATAACCCAATATAGCCCCTATATAACCCCTTTTAATATAGTAGTTTTTATTTTCTGTCCATTATCCCTATAGAATTTCCCTGCTTGCAATGCTTGGTCAGGTCGACTGCCAGAACACTTGGAGGCTGCCCAGGGACTTCCAACCGGTCCATGTAGCTACATTTCAGGGGATATATGAGGATACGTAGGGGTTGTCTGGGGTCATATTATAGGAAAAACAGGGTTCGTAAGAAAGGTTTGTGTTTCGCGGTTTAGGGTTCAGGGTATTAATACCTGAACGGAGGAGAATCAGATGGAAAAGACGATGGACTAGGATAATGTAGGGCCTATAGTATATTCCAACAGAGCTCCGACATAAGTACTTTAGGGTCCAAGTATATACCATATAGCTACATGGACTCTTTGGGACTGGGCATTTCACCAAATTACTCCGGATCAAAATGGGCGGGATGGGATGAAAGGTGGGGGTTTGGATAGGGTAGGGCAGTTTGGAATTTTTAGGCCAGAAGTTGATCCCTAATACGAGTCTGGTTCTTCCCAACCTCGAGATTCTTCTGGGTATTGCTGTTTAAAGATCCCGCATGACCTTGCACTGCTCTAGTACTCTAATTTTCAAGGCTTGGGGTACTAAACCCTAAATCCTAAGTCCTGCAGGAATTTCCGTATCCACCATAGGACTGCTCACTGTGAGCAAGCTAGAGTCTTTGGGCGGTCCAGCCTGTTGCTGCTGCGACCATTGCAATTCGGTTTAGGGTTTAGGGTCTAGCGTTCCCATGGCTCCTGTTATTCCTTGGCATGCGAATTCGCTCCTTCAAATCGCTATCGTCATGTGTTTCTTTTAGTGTAATCCTCAGCTGTTTACAAGAGGGCTGTCTCGGGTAGCGCATTTGGGCATGCGTTACAGTCAGGCCTGAAACCTTGTTTTGCAGATGGTGTGTAGGGTTTGGCCAGACTACAGGCTTTTGGAGCCTAGTTCCTACACCCCAAGAAGCACTTTCCATCTTATTTTCCCAAGTCCCTATATAACCCCATATTATCCCTGTACTGTAAAACAACATTCTACCCTCTCACCTATGTTCGATCTACTTACGGAGATCCGCATGGGGTTGGGGAATCATTTTGGAGTCGGGCCTTGCCTTGGTGCATCCCAGACCCCTGGGAGGATCTAGAAAGTAGATCCCCCTTAAGGGTTCCTAGGAATTACCCAATAGTAGTATAGGGTACCCTAATGGGG